TAAGTAGGGCCTAGCTTTCTACTCGTGGTGAAATTTCATTCCAGGTTGCATAAATATCTTTATTTATGCAACATTAAGCTAATTTTCAGCATTTTCCTGAAAGTCTATTAGTTGCTTTCAGGCTCTCTGAAAGGTATCATACTTCATGGGGTGAGAATTCATCTGTCATACTTTGGAGAGAGAGTTTATGCCTCTAGCAGCCAAAAGCTTGTTAAAAAAGGGCTGCAGTCTTTTGCTGGAGCACAGATAGAAGAAACAAAAACTACCACTGTTGCTTAGATGTAAAATTAAATTTTTTTCACTGGAAAAGATTTTTCTGATTTACTCTCATTACTGGAACCAAAGGAAACATATAACCTAAGTCAGCCATTTCTATATAATGAAGAAAACGAGGGATAATCACTGCAAACACTGGGGGAAAAAAAGCAGACCTACTAGGTAAGCTTTCTTTAAACACATGTTTATATTTTCATTCTCCAATCTGTTTTCTTACCTTGACCCTCTTTATTCATGTTTGTGTTTTGCAAGCAACGTAGAAAGATTTCTGTGCCATTATGTATGCTCACTTGTTCTGGCTTCTCTACTTGCCGCACAGAATTCAGTGTGACATGAACAAGAATTTGATGTACAGAGCCTACAATGCCAACAAAATGTAGTATTTTATTCAGAAGCAAATGACAACAAAATCTTTGAAAACCCAAAAAGAAGGTGAGGTAGTAAAAGGGATGTGTGGGAGAAGAGGCATATAAAAAAGGATCAAAGCGGATAAGTTTCAGCTAGCAAGTGATAACATACTCCTCAGTTTCCTAGAGTTAAATTTGTAGCTTCCACTATATTTTAGTGACAGATCCCGTGTAGCACACTTAACCAAAATTGTCCCTTATAAATTTGTTTCCAAACAACAAAAAAAATGGAATTAAATATCATCTTATAAATTTTACAATTGTGCTTGGGAGTGAAGCAAAATCAGCTGTCAGATAAAGAGTTCTATTGACAGTTTCAGTGAAGAACAAAATCAGTGGAGTATAATGTTAATAATTCCTTCTTTGCTATGATGATTCAATCCCAGCATTCTGCACTGTGACACGCATGGCTTGCTTTGTTCATGATGTGATGTTACACACGTTTCTTTGGGCACAGTCATCTTCCTTTGCCACCAACACCACACATGCTTTTTACTATATACATGCACTGAAAACGAGTGCTTCAAAGCTTCCTGATCAGCCCCACACCGCTCCACATGCATAGCAAATGACGTGGAGACAAATGAATTTGCTTCCAGGGACACAATTGCATGAAGCTTTTCTTTGGTTCATTAAAACGACTGCCTGGATACCCACTCAATAAATGTTCTTTATCACTGAAAATTAGCAGTGATGTGAATGTGTCTCTTGAACTTCATTACTACAGTCGGGGTTACGAATGGCACAGGCTGAGTGTTGGGAATTGGAAGAAATAAAAGAGTAAATCTGAAAACAGAACAGACTGGAGGCTGGAGCACTACTGCATCTCTCTTAGGGTGGAGCTGCGCATTAGCAGATGGCAGCCTAAAAACAATATGTGCTGAGAGAGCTTGAGATGTATGGCAAGATTTTCAACACCTACACAAACGTTCAAAAGAGTATTGTCTGTCAGGAGTGGTGGAACAATTTACAAGTTGCTTTTGTGTGGATTTCTGAAGCTATTATCTACATAGGATCAGCTAGGAAACGTTGGAGGCAAATTCAAGGCAAATTTTTGCAGAATGGAATACGATAACTAGTCACAATATTAATCCATATGTTTTGATGTGAGTATTGTAAAACTCACACAAAGCAGCCCAGGTCCTTCCTATTGGCAGATCATGTAGCTAGGTTGTTTGTGCGAGGCAGCAGAAAATTGCAACTGAAGAGCAAATCGTGATCTTGCCATCTGCCTGGAAGGAATTATTATATAGGGTTGGCTGTCAATCAACCAACCTGTTTTGAAGCAAAAGCAGAACAGTATATGATTTTTTCCACGTTCATTTCATGCACTAATTTCGTATCTGGCAGCTCTTCTTTTCCAGCAGCCGTTCAGCACGCAGGGCTCTGGCCGCAGCACTCTGCCCAGCCCTGCAAACAAGTAGATGAGCTGTGGAAATGAATGCCTGGAGCATTTTTCTTAAATAATGGCAAGGCTGGTGGCAGTGACAGGGAGTTAAATCTTAAGGTATTGCGTTCTTCCAAGCGATGGCATCAGGGATCCGTTGGCTCCTGTATATCACATAGTCGTGTTGAATCTCACTTTCTTTTTTTGTTCCATTGGAAGAATTTTCCCCAACTTCTTGTTTCTACCTCTTTAAGGGAGACTTTTGTGTTACTTGCCAATGTTGGTTTTTTTTTCTTCTCAGTTTTACCATTTCTTTACCTTTTTCTTTCCCTCACCTCCCTCCCTGCCTGCTTTATCTTTTCAAGGCTACTGTATCACACAATAGTTTACAATTATAATCAGAATTGCTTTATAGAACACCTCTAATCCATGGTGTTCTAAGCATGCCAAAATAGGGGTTTGGAAGCCACACCTGCAAAACCCAGGACACGTTTTAAGAAATAAAGTGAAATATATTTTAAGATCACATTGTGAACCCATTATAAGAGCTGGCTTACAGGGTGCAGGCAGCAAAGAACCTTCTCAAATTTCTAACTGTTTTCTGCCATCGGTTTACTTTGTGGTGAAGTGGAAGAAATACACAAGTTTGCAAACTATCTGTTTGGTTAAATGCCCTGGTTCAGCACAAGAGCTGGTACTCCCTCTGCAGCTGAGACCAATGCAGAGTAAATTGACTTTTAAGTGCTATTTTCAGAGTAGCACCTGCAGTTACGGAGCTCAGAAGTGATAGGATGAAGAGTAGAACTGGCTCTTTGAATTTGTCTTTTGTATATGTACTTTGTTTGTGAACTGAGCTCTTTCTGAGGATGGGTTCTGAGTTGGGCAAAGATGAGCATTCCGTGTGCACTGGGGCACACAGGGATGGGACCTGGAGGCATCTCAGAGCAGAAAAGGGCATTGAGCTCATAGACAGACTGGCTTCATTTTGGCGTTCCCTATCACACAGCACAACCACCCCGGCACACTTTCCAATTCACCCATGTTATCACAGGGTTTTATTCTATCTGAAGAAATTTTGTGTGGTGGTTTTGTGTTTGTTTGTTTGTTTTGGTTTTTTTGGAGCTGTTAGAGCACCTGGACCTTGTTGCAGGCAGTGGCCATTAGCAGCAGAGGTGTTTGGGCTTACAAAGCTCCTCTGCCCCAGCTGGGGTGCAGCTGCTGGGAGGGAGGGCTGAGCTGATGAGTTTGCTTCAGGGCTGAGGTAAAGAAACACGCTCACAAATTTATAGAAAGAAATTTCCGAGTTAGGGGGAGTCAGAAACAACACCTAAACCAGCTTGAGAGCACAGACCTCTGTATTTTAAGGTTGGTAATCTAGGTTTCTGGGGCTGGAGGAACAAGTTCTGGGTACTGCTAAAGATGTGTGCTTTTAGCTTTTGTGATGAGCTGGGAAAGATCTTTCTCACCCCTGTGATCTCCTGGGAGGAACTGGAGGTGACCAGGGATGGGCCATGTGCTCAGCATGGTACCTGGCTGCCTCTCCTGCTGCCCTCCCTGGGCTCAGTGGTCTCTCTTGGTGCAGCTGGGTCTGGGACAGTGGAGACCTATTGTTTGTTAAGCTTTATTTAAAGCTAGCAATGTAGTGAAGCTGAAGGGAACAAAAGCACCCTGGTGACCATGGCTGAACTCTCCGTGCTCTTTGCCTACCAGTGTATAGCAATTGCTTTGTTCTGGTTGAATTGCTTTTATTTATGTTGTGAATTTAGAAGTTACTTACACCTTCGTGTAAAACTCGACTTTTAAGCAGTTAAAGCAAGCCCTAAACTTGTGCTTGGAGACTGCTATTTAATCCCTTGAAGCTGACTAACCTACTACCAACTGTCTTCTATGACTACAGATGCACTAATTTTCAGTTCATGTACCCTGGCCCCTGATTTGGCTGCTGTATCTGGATCTTCATGGAATGTTCTAGTTGGTCTGGAAGGGAACAAGCAGGCTAATTCTAGAAAGAGTTCTTTCCTAGCAATTGGTTATTTCAATAGTACTTCATTTAATGGATGCATCTGGCTAATGTAAGAATGCATGATCTTGAGTTTATGCCATGAAGACATCAATGAGAGGAAGAGATTCTGAATGTTTCAGATTAATATGATCTCGGTAGCTGGTAAAAAATAAAAATATTGTTACTTGACAGGATCAGCATGATCAGCATCTCTCTAGGGCTGCTTTAACTTTGATTTTGTTATTGGGTTATTTGGTTGTTTTTTTTTTCTTTCTTGAAATTTTCTGAACGGAAACAAAACAATTTATCTCATTATAAGGCAATTATGTTCACCTCCCACAGTGTGATGAGACTGATCATGTTTTTGTGGTTGTGTTTATAATACATGCTACTGATATTTTGTTGCTTATTGATAATGTACTACATAGTTAATTCCTCTTAAATACTGACCTCATTGGCTAAAGGCAAGTTATAGATAAGCGTAGCAGAAATGCAAAGTCATGGACAGTGATTGAGCACCTGGTGGGAAGGCAGGGCCAACCCAGGGGAGCTCAGCTGCATGCAATATCCCTGAGTGATGGAAGGGGTGGAGTCAGGTTCCACCCATTCCCAGACCTTATTTAAGGGTTGGCAGTGGAGGTGAGGGAATTGCTTGCTGTAGGTTCCTACATTCCTGAGGCCTTCTAAAGGTAAGCAGCTTCTTTTGGTTTTGCACCTATAGTTGTTGTGTTTGAGTAAATCCTCACTTGCTGCAGCTTGGAGCCTTACTGCTCTGCTGTCATTGCAGTGCTTTCCATTGCGCTACAGTAAGGGTTTTGATTTTGGTGCGTTGTTCTGTATACTTTAAAAATAACTGGAGTGCAGGCTTCTTGATATAAATTTCCTTGACAAAGGTAGATTCACTTCTTTTCTCTGTTTTTTATTTTAGGCGGGCACAAGACGTAAGAAGCAGAATCTTTGCCTTCCAAGTATAGGAACTGTGAAAACTAGGCCTTTTCTTAACAAGGAAGAGTGGTACCTTAAAGGTAGGCTGAGAAAAACAACTGTGAGAGTGTTCCTTTTGTGCTCTGCTCTCAGTTCTTCTCCCCCTTCCATTGATACTTGCACTGGATTTTTAATTCTTTGTTGTTTTTCATTGAAAGTGACTTACAGTGTTTCTGTATTTGCTTTCTAATGGCTCCAGCTGTGTCATCTTGTTGGTTGAATCTTTTCTTTGTGTGTCGGAGGGGCTGAAAAACAGTTTCTACTAAGCAAGGCTGCTATGGCTGAGGAACAAGGAGAGGTGATAGAAGGATAAGGTACAGACATTGTGGGAAGGAGCCACCAGGTATTCCTATACCTAGCAGAGCTTCTCCATTGAACATTATGCCCTGATCTTATTGTATCCTTGAGCAGACCCCTATGCCAATATAGGTGGATTGGGAACAGGGCAGAATTCCTGGCACGCTGTATGTGTGCTATAATAACCATGTCGACTAGTTCCTGAGCCCATGCACGTAATGGTTTCCCTGCATATGCTGCTGTTCAGTTCTGCTTCTGCAGGCTTTGGGTGTCTGCAGTCTCATTGTTTGGCCAGTAGAGGCTGTGGTCATGGCCAGGCAAATCACCAAACCTTTCTTTGATGCTCTTCCTTCATGAAAAAGAGTGTAGTTTTCTAGCTGAGATTTTCATGCTCAGCATGGAGACGCATGGGCAAAATCACTGCATCTTCTTTTCACTGGAAAAGCTAAAAGAGAAGAGAACCTGTCAATACAGACTAAATAATTTAATACTATTGCAGAAGACATGAGAAGGAAATGCATTCAGTTCAGACATCGAGGTTAGGCCCCTCACAAAAAAGGAATTAAGGTGGTGGGGACTTAAAAAGAAAAGTGCCTGGACAAAGTGGGGAGGTGAGGTTTTTTTGGGGGGCATACAGAAAGTACTGGAAAGGAAGTGAAGCACCGCTGTGAGCATCTGACTGCAAAGAGTGTGCATGTAACATCAAACATTGCTGCAAGCACTTGTATGTGTTAAACAGAACTTATTAACATCTGTTTTCTTGGCAAAGCTGCGTCCACAGATCCCTGCAAGGATCCTGCTTTAGTGTTTGTGCTCCCTGTTCTCCTGTGGGAGAAGCCAAGAGCCAGAAATGCCATAGATGAGGATTGCTTCTTCACTGTTTTTACTCAGTGCTCATGGATGCCATTTAGACTATTACATATATGCATACTGATCATCATGTGCTCAATTGTTGCTTCTTCACGTGGGCAGGCTTTCCTTGGAAGCTGCCGTGGTGATGAGGTGGGATAGGAAAACTTCTGCTCTGTTGGATTTTTAGAGATAACTTCCATAAATGTTGTGGACATGAGAAAATAGTCTGCAATTGTCCTTCTAGTGGAGATAAGATGAAATGTACTATTAGACTGCCTTGGCTCACCTGGAGTAGGAACATGTAGGTACTCATGAGCTGCAATGTGCACTGCTTGTCACCTGGGCAGCAGATGACAGTTTGGTGTATGGGAAAGAGCTTTGTAGGGTGTGTGGAAGCAGCTGAGTGAGATGGAGAATACAATCTGTGAAAACCAAAGCTTTATTGTCCCAGAAGCACTAGAACTAATGAGCTTTGCATTTCAAAGGTGCTGAGCCTTCTTCGAACCCTGTAAAATACATTCCTGAGGTTTGTTGTGTTAAATCTCTACATGAGTCAAAGGCGTATGTGGGGGAGGAGAGGAGCAGAGATGGCAGCATGAGAAAGTAGAGGCCAGAGGCCCCTATTTGGGTGCCAGTCCCAATCTGCTGTCTGCGTGACTCTGCCCAAGTTGCATATGCTCTCCTTCTCTGTCTGCATGGAAACTTGTGATAAATAGAGGCCCAGGGAGTGAAGAGCATTTATTTTTATTTGCCTATTTTTGTCGTCTGCTTGGCATCTTTAGATGAATGGTGGAACCAGGAGGAAAAAGCTATTCTTGTGAATACAATCATTGTTTGTGTAAGGCAGCCTGTCTCAAAGACAGTTTGATGCCTGCTGACCCTTTGCAACCTACTTTCACCTTGGAAATATCACCTGAGTGCAACAGTCTGTTTTTGGCAGCCCTGCCGGCAACCCCATGGAGTTTTTCAATCAGAGCAGTGGAGAGGCAGTTTTCCATTGCTCTTTGTTCAGGGTAGCTCAAAACTCCTGGTCTCTGTTTTTTTTGTTTTTTTTTTTCTGTTTGCTGTCAGGTGTCATAGTGGAGGTGGATGGGCCAAGTGGGGGGGAAGACCAGGCCAACGTGAGAAGAGCATTCACTGTAAATAGCATAAGTTAAAAACTGCACTGTCACCTTCACTGTTCCTGGCCTCTTCCATACCTAAACGCCTTTCTTCATTCTGAGCTGAGCAGATGGTAAGCTTCTCCAAATGTCTGGAAGGAGATGGGGCAAGACTGCGTTTAGAACACCCTGCTTCACTGTACTCCCACTTACAAGACGCTTTGGGGCAAACAATATCTTGTTTATAGATTGATGCCTCTGGGTGAGCAACCTGCAACTCTCCCTGGCCTGTCTTTGATTTTTGCCATTTCCCCTCCCAGGCAGATACCCTGCAACCCAAGGGCTGGTCTCCTCGCTGCAGGTTCTGGGTCCATCCTACTCCAGTGCTGGATGGAGCTGCCACTGTACTGGATGGATGGTGCGGCCTTTTGTTGCCTCTTCCTTCTAGAAAGGAATTGCTTTCAGCCTGCCTTTGTTATGACAAAGGATTTTGAAATGTGCAGGCTGTTGACTCCTATCTTATTTCCCTCCATATTTTCTGTTTCTGGCCTTGTCAGTGTTAGCATCTCCAAATTCAATACACTATCCCATGGGTGCTTGTAAAGAAGCATCCCCTTCCTGTCAAAGTCAGTGATACTTGATGCAAGGAGGCAAAAGTAAAGCCCCAAAGTGTCAGGTGAAGAAGACAGCATGCCCAGCTGAAGACAGAATAAGAGAAGCGTTTTCCTGTCTTACTGGTCCACTGAAAGTAAAAACTGGCAGCAAGGACACCAAAACAGGTGTGAGGATGCTACTGCAAGATTTGCCAAGGCTGCCTCTGTTCCCAGTTAATGCTGGAAGCCAGGGCAGGGAAGTGGCTGTGCAACCTGTTTAATATTCTCTTCTGTTCCTCTGATCTCCCTCCTACCCCACAAAAGCAACATGTCCCATGCTTCTGCAGAGCTTGTCCTGAGCAATAGCAGCATCTGTCAGGGGTTATGGTGGCATTAGCCTCATGGTGCTGGGAGTTAGCAGTGCCTGGCAGAGTGACAGTTCTGCTGTACCTTATGTAAATCTGTATCTTGCATAAATCTGTCTCTGCCTGCTCTGCCAAGGTGTGTGGTCGCAATTTTCTGTTTCCTCCTGCTGTCCAGGGGCCCTTTTGCTTTCCTAGAAGATCTTCTTGAGACCCCAGTCCTGCCTCTTGCCTCACACCTCCCCATTCTATACCCTTCATCACCTTTCCAAGAGGGAATGCATCTTGTTAAACAGGTGCTATTTTAAAATAAACTCCCACCACCTGCCTCTCAGGTACTGCAGAAAGCTTCCATCTTCCTGTAGAAAGAGGGAAGGTATTGAGCCTCCCTGTGGCTTTAGCAACAAACCAGGACTGCTGCAACCACCAGCTCTTTGCCCATCACCTCCTGCTGGGGACCGGCCCAGGTTGGTTCTTCAGACATCAGCAATCAATGTGCCTTGGTTGCTTCTATAAACAGCAGTTTTTGGAAATATCTAGACCTTTCTGAAGCCAGAAAGGAACAGTGATTGCTCCAGATCTTGGCCTTCTTTCAGCATCTAAGGGAATTCTTGGGGAAGATGAGGAAAAAATTTATTGAGGAGAATATTGTGTGCCAAACCAGAGTCCCGTATTTCCACACAAAGTACCATAAAGAATCACTGATCTCTGGCCACTATAGGGCTTGCCCTAAGTGACATACCAGGAGTTCTGTGGCAGTGGCAGCCTGGAGTGTTTCCCTCCTGTGTCACTTCATCCCACATCACCGTTGCTGTATTGTGGCAAGGCTGTAAGGAAGAGCTGCTCTGAGCACTGTGCTGGAGACCTGTGTAAAGCAGTGCTGGTGGGGCCAAACTCTCAATGCTTATTACATAATGACACAGGGGCTCCAGGGGAGCGTGTGCACCACCAGGTAAACTTGTCACAACTCTCAGCAAGCGTCTCCACGGAGACATCTGTCCTTGGTGCACAGAGTGAGGTGCTTGAGAAGAAAGGCACTTACTGCTGTTACTTGCTATTGTTGGTGTCAGGAGCGGTAGAAGGAGAAGGTAGAAAGCTTTTCTGCAATAGGTTAAGTTGGAGGGGAAAAAAAAAAAGTGTTGTATTACAGTGTGCACACAGAGCTCTTAAAATGGAAGCTTCTTCTGTCTCCTTGCCTTTCTCCTTCTGTAGACAGGCTTGAGAGGTATAAAGGGGAGTGAATGGCATTGAGGATGTAGAGTGCCTCTTTAAGAAATAATTACACATGGTACAAGGCAGAGAGGAAACCATGCCGTTCCTGTAAATGGCTGCTTGAGATGTGGACGATAAATAAGTGTAACAAATAATTGTCCCCCCCCCAAAAAAAAGCTTCATCAAAGCAAGGCTCCTTCCTATTGTCCGTGAGGTACAGGGGCAGTGCTGCAAAGGAAACTTCCCCCCTCCTCCCCACCCCACCCACTTACAGCGAGGTGTAGCAAAGCCCTGCGAGCGTGCAGAGCTCACACGCGTGTGTCAGAGGAGGGGCTGCCTCAGGGCTGCGACGCTGTCACCAACAAGTGTGGGGGGGACGCCTGGGGACAGCACAGCCCCGGCGCTGTGCTGGGCGATCCGGAGCTGTGTCACTTTAAGGCATGTGATACTTTCCTGAGCAGGGATGCACTGAAATAGGCTCCGGTACTTCCAGCATCCTGTAGCAGTGTACGTACAGCTGCCCGGCTCTGCACTGCCTGCGCTGGAGTGAAGCTGCTCCGTCTTTAAATGCAAACTGCTCCTCGTCTTTAAGTAGCCTGGAAGCTGCAGATTGTTTCAAGATCGCTTCAAAGGTCTCATCAAGCAGAAGGTGATGCTAGGAGATGATTTAAAGGTGAAAATGAGAAGGTTTCCACCCCTCAAAGCTCGGCCACTTTTCTGACGGCAGTGCCTGAAAGCTCAGATGTCGTCTTTACTCTGGGAACAGGATTTGTAACGAGATTTTTTTTTTTTTTTTTTTCCCCTCCTAATCCTGATAAAGAAGATTATTGGGAAGCTATTAGAAATCCCTTATTGTGGTGCAGATGGATTTTAAAAAGTGTTAGACCTTTCCAATGAACACTAATAGAGTGCTCTGCTCTTGGCTGGATTACTCAGGTAAGGAGCTTCTTTAGGATTTAGGATTCAGAAAGCAGATCTGGAACTCATCAGATAATAACGGGAGGGATACTTGCTGCTGTGTTTCTTAATAATGAGGAGATGGTCTGTGCATAGAACTGCGTGTATGATAAGTGCTGACAAATGAGAGTAAGAAGGAAGCTTTATAGGAAATGCTGGGGCTTCAGCAAAGGTAGTTTATAGTAGAACAGTTTGGTAAAGATTTGAAAAATGTAGAAATGGAAAGCGCCAAAAAAGAGAGTGGGTTAAGGAAGTCTGCTGTCCATGTGGTTTGGAACATGATTCCTGAAGGCTGACACGAGCATTTAGCAGACTGTGGAAGTTTGGCTTTGCTTTGTTTTTTGTCCAGGATTTCAGAAGTTTGGGTTAAATAACCCAAATGCCTGAAACGTTCTTGTGTGCATCCCTGTGACCTCTCCCTCATGTAAAAAGCATGGGAGCACCAAACGTGACATAAAGGCATTGATTCCTGCAGGCACGAGGAGCCTGCTGGGAGCTCCCTGAGCTCGGGGGGCAGAATGTTTCGCAAGGGAAGTGGGTCTGAGGAGAAGAGCAGAGTTCACTGTATGCTGGAAGTAAATTGTCAGCAATGGAACCAATTATATGCTGAGTAGTGCTTCAGATACTCCGAATGGGGGAAGGAAGAGTCTCATGCTGATCAAAACAACATTTTGCTGTTTGCTATTAATTAGATTTGTCAGTTTGTGCAGCTCTCTCCTGACAGTCTTAAAGCTATCCAGAGGCTATGTCTACTCCTTTAAAATTTGGGGGAAAATAATTTTTCTTGCGTATGTTTCATAGATGCTGAGTTTCATGCTGCTGATTTTCCTGCTGCAGAACCCCCGATAGAACACACAGAATTTACTTTCACCTGTATTTGTAAAGGCACGATTTTTCTATGAGAGAGATTTGATCTCTAAGTCTTTCTTCCCCTGTGAAAATGATGTTCAGCTGATTGGATTATTAGACAGAAAATGGCATCGTGTCATTGGCTGAATAAAGAGAGTGCCTCAAGTTTGATTAATTTAGTAATATGAAATGCAGCAGAAGGTGTTGTTAAGGGAACCGGACGATGTGTAGCGTAGCTGAGCCTTGCAAGCCTCCAGATTCTTGCAGGCACTGGGAAAGAGCCGAAGTTGAGAAGTCAGAGGAAAATTCAGGCAGCTAGTACAATAGTGAATACCAGCATGGAAATGATTGCCTGTTCCTGATGCCCCAGCATGTCAGTGCTGAGAGACAGAAACAAAGTGCTCTTTGCCTTTCTGTAAGAGTTTCTGTAGGATTTTGACACAACCTGCCTTGTGAAAAAGAGCAAAGCTTTTACGGAGAATGTATGAAATGCAGGATACAGCCAGGCTGGTCTCTGTGCACATGCAGGTCAAACAAAAGAAAGCTGGTTGTACTTGGGAGTTAGAGGATAATTCTGAGAAACGGTTACTTTCTTTAGCAGGCAGCATCATAATTAAAAATTAATGCTTGCAAAAGTCAAAAACAATAATGTTACCTTCTGGGGCAGAATGAACCTCCCAGTCTTTGGGTGGAGTGTTGTTGAAATGCCTTGATGCCTGATAACATAACATGCCTATCTATTAGGCATTTATATTAGTTTTGATGTTGTCTGGATATCAGTGTTTTTAGCTGATTTTCCCCACAACTGTAAATTAGGTGTTGGACCAGTGTAGGGAAAATTTCCCAGCCTTATTGTTGTTTTTTTTTTTCCCCTGGTCCTCAGATCATTACAGTTTCATTTTTGTCTCTGAATTATTAAAGTTCTCCTGGCTCCTGCATACTGTTACAGCAACTGTTCTTTTTTGGACATGACCTTTGTTGTATGACAGTTGCATCCTGCAGGGGGGGGAATAGGCAGGCAACAAAAGATTTTGAACAAAAGAAGTAGAAAAGTAACAATACTGTTGTAATGGAAGATGATTATTCTACGTGCTGCAAGGCAATGGATAATAACGTCTGTCTAATATTTTGTTTAGAGAATGGCAGTGGTGTCTGCAATGTCCTGGGTCCTGTATTTGTGGATAAGTGCCTGTGCAATGCTGCTCTGTCAGGGATCCCTCCATCACACTTTCCAGCAGCATCACCTGCACAGACCAGGTAGGACTGACAGCATTCTGCAGCTGATCCAAGATTGCAGGCTTTCTGCCATGCTCGTGTCTATCTTGATGAATGACTGAATAATCATAAAAACCCATTTTGTCATTTAACTTTTCTAGGTTGACTGCCTTTATGTTACAGAGCATGAATTCATTTGGTCAAACATGTGTTGCGCTTTGCCAATCTGATGTTAAAATATTTATTTTATATGCTGTTTTGTAACAACTTCCCAATATGGGAGTCTCCTTTTGGATTACAGTTTAGTCTCTGTCCTTATTTCTATTTCCTTCTCCCCTTCTCATGCAGTTCTGGAGTGAGCGTATAACTCAAAAAGACACTGTGACAACAGTTTTGGGTAATTTTGTTTGCAGTATGGAACCCAAACAGGACAAGGTTTTGCTATTTGGAATGCTGCTACCACATCTCCTCAGTCTCTATTGCTCACCAGAGGTTGGGAGTTTGCCTCAGCGTAACTGAGAATAGAGCTTGTCTAAGACTCTCCAATTTATCTCTCAAAATCGATGGGGATGTGGGTGTGTGGCTCAGAGGAGAGTCTGGGCTTTCCCGTGGAGTTAAACACATGTAAGGTTGGAGTTAGTCCCACAGGTCTGCGATGAAGAGCTCAGACACGTTTACCACTGTGATCCGCAGGGGCTGCACATTAGTTTTATTGCACTTCTGTTTTTTATTGGTAGAAATTGGTCGTTAATTTTTCAACTGTTAGTTGTGCTTTGAAGAGAATGAGCCTTGTTTAAAAATTGAGGAGTTGGCATATTCCAGAGCAGTGTTATCATCTGGTTGAATTTAGATGGGCTCAGAGTGCTGTATTCCTAATCCAGATCCACAGAAGGAAGGGAGAGGTCTTAAGAGCTTAAGAAATTGAAGATGGCAAATGTTAACTTGCAATGATTCATCATTTAATATTTAATAAAGAAAACTTTTTTTTTTTAAGTCTTTCTTAATCTAATGACCTACCTGCAAAGAGAGCATGTCTTGAACTACAGATTTTTAGCAACCCAAAGTTTTCCTGGTTATTTCCCTTGTGTAAAAGTCATAGATCTTCCTTCTTGGCATAGTCTAGTTTGCTTGCAGTAAAATATGCATAGTACAGAAGAACAGACGTAAGTCTTCAATGGATCAGTTCTGAGTAGCTACTGGTTAATGTAACACCACCATCTTTACCAGCTGCCACTGGAAGTCTGAGTCTTCGAGTGGCACTTACTCAGAAAGTAAGATAGAAATATTTGTTATGACTCAATTGTGAGTATTACTCCTGGTTATTTGAATCTGTCCTCCAGTGAAGGCAGTAAGAAAAAAGGGTGCAGCTAAGCAGATAGGTAAAAGTAAAATGTAATCTTGTTTTGCAAAATTGGTTGAAACAAAGTGACATTATGAGAAAAAATGAGCTGGACAGATTCAGAACTCTGCAACATTTGCCTAAGCTTGAAAAATCACCTCCTTTATGAGGCAAGAACAGTGGCACACTGAGCGCATACCAAGTGTTGGGGAAATGCAAAATATGACAAAATCTTTCACTCAGAGATGAGATACAGATAGAGTGAAGGTTTTACAGCTGCCTCATCACCTACTTAGAAACAGCCCAGCTTTCCCTCTTGCGAGCCTTTCTCAGGCAGCATCTCCGCACCCTACATGAACAAGATTGATGGCGTTCCGATCCCAGGCAGCCAATTTCAGTCTCTCAAGAAATAATCCACTACACTGACAGATGAGTGGAATTTGACATGATGTTCACCTCTGATTCAGACTGTGTGGCACCTGGGAAGTACCAGCAAGCAGGCATTCTTTAGGGAAACTGTTCCAGATCTTGGGCAATTTCCGCTGTCACAACAGAAAATCAAGGGAGTGTTTTTTATAAGGCAGTGAATTTGCAGTCCACCAATTGAATGGAAAAAAGTTGTATGTAAAGGGGATGGAAATATGTTAATTAGCAAACAGAGTGATTTTAATGTATTCAACTGCAGTCCCTGAGCACCCCCTATTTTTCATATTTATAATGTTAGGAATGCGTCATTTACTTTTAGTCACTGTGTAAGTAAGATTAAAATGTTCAGCTAAATAAAAGTGAGTAAAAAATGGATGCAGATGAACCAATACGTAATTTCAGTAATGTAATATTTGGTACATGAAATTTCAACTTATTGAATCAGCAAATATAGCTGTGATCAATAGCGTGCTCAGCATACCTCTTCCTTCAGCTTGTGATCTTCCATAGATAATAGAAGCTCTAAAACAAGAACAGAGCTGTTCAGCTCCATTGTGGGGTTACTTTGGTACAAGATGATGAAAAAGGTAAATTCCAGCCAGTCATGTGCTTCTCATACTTGATGAATAGAAGTCTCACTGAGCACAAGAAGGTGCAGTTAAAAGATAAAATCCTCATGGAGTGGATTTAGCATAATAAACTTGAACTGAACTCAGTGGATTAATGCAGTGACTACACCTATCTGTAGTGCTGCTGTCAATTCCATTTTGAAACACTGGAAATCAAGGGCAACATAGTTTACAGTCAGATATTTCTGATCTTTTCTACTTCCTTCCTGAAACTTTCTTAAGCAAGCATCTGAATGGATTGAAATAAATTTCTACACACAATGTGCAATCACAGAAGTTTAAATCTTCCTTTCAGTCTAGAATGCAGTTTCATAATTCAGGCCTTTATTCAGTTAGATGACTTGGCAGAAGGTACAAACCTGAAAACAAATGTGATAAACCATTTTACGAGACAGTGTTTGTAATTGACTGGAGCTGTATCTTCTGTGAGATGTTGGCAGGAGGGCACAGGTAGTCAGAGGACAGTAAATATTGTTCGATGTGAAGATGGATTATTGTGCTGTCTGTGAATTCCTTCTTGTCTCATTAACGCAACAAAAAGTTTCGATGCTGCTGTTAAGTACTTCAACTGATGGTGTTCTTTTTTAGTTGAGACAAAAGAGGTGGGCAGGGTGGGTTTTTGGGTTTTTCCAGCAGAATCTGAGGATCTTGGAGTAAGCTAACTGAACACCTTTGCAGCATGATTCCCCCTGGGTAATACGCATCGTTGTCTGCAGTGTTTTAATGAATATTTTTCATTTTCATGAAAACTGTTAGACAAAGGATGCATGAAAGCGTTCACGGGGAATATAACTGGGGGGGGGGGGCCGGAAAACCCCTTCATTTTTTAGAAGCATGTCATTTGTGTGATTTAATAAGAACCGGCAGTAATGAGAAGAATTCCACATTGGCCATTTTCTGCTGTAAGATGCAGACAGTTGTAGAGCTGTTGAATTGGCCTGAGGATTAGAGTGGACAGGTTGTGATTTGCAGAGTTAGCCAAGTGCCTGTGATAGTTCATTGATCATCTGATTGACAGTATTGACTCTGCCCCAGAGGCAGAGAGTAGATGCTGGCATTTGGCAGGAAAATGAGATATTTAAAAAGCAAAGGGTCTCAGGTTTTTTTTCCCTAAATTAAAAATAATAATTTAAAAATCTGTGTAGCGTGCAGTTCTTAGTGAATTTTCTGGCTTTGTTCCATAAATGAGGGACATCTTGCACCCAGCTAGGACTGTTAGCTGGCACTGAATCGCAGTGGGCAATACTGGCCATGTGTTGCTTAAAAACGCAGGAAAGCACACTGGAGCCTGTAAGTTCATGCAAGATAATTAGCTACATATTAAGGATGCTGGGTTAGTCTTGCATTCAGCATAAAGATGCACAGCAGACACAGGCAGAAACATGTACTTACTATAGCAATGCTGACATTTGCAAATATGTTAATTAAAAATAAGTTTATTCCAAGGAAGAAGTCACAGAGTGAATTAAGGATGGCTAGAATCTATATCTACTAAATATAAAAATATCTTTATTGTGACAGTTCTTAATGATGTACCCATCAGAAATCATCCCAAGGAATCTCTATACCATATACTGTGAGGAGGAAAATCTGTATCAAAGCAATTCTGCACAAGTTAACCACCAACATCAACCTAAGCGTTCTGAGCATCTTTCTTAGTAGACAGCATTTTGTGGAAACTTGAGTTTGTGATGGTGAGCAGAAGATCTATGTTCCGATCTTGGCCTTCCCACTGTTCTTTTTTTTTAATAGCCTTAGGAGGAAACTGCATATTTTCCCATTTTGAAAGACTACTATATGCTCTAAACACGTGGCTATTTCGTTCAAAACAGCCTGGGAAGAATGTTGGTCTGACTCTCATTCCCCAGCAAAGTGTAAATAGAATATTTTCTGCTTGCCAAATGAGATATGGAAGATGGATTTAACAGGGTTTTTGCTCTTGGTGTTGATAGAAGCAGATGTAGAACCAGGTAGTTAATGCATAGAAGTGTATGGTTTCTGCGAGAATTGTATTCCATTAATCATATGGTGGGAATGCAAATTGTTGCCTTTATTATACAGTGTCCATAATGGTGTGCAATGACTCCACCTGTGTGCAGTAGATCAGCTCATGGATGTGAAATTTGGCAACTGGTGCTTCATGCTGTGTTAATTGGAAGAAACAAACTGATAGCTTTAGCACCTGATTTAGTTCTCATTTATGTCTGTAAATGCACTTGAGATGCTGTGTCTGTATACATCTTGCTTTGTTCAGAATCAGACAATCCCAAATACCCAGCTTGGTATCCCACAGGTGCTTGCTGGAATTCTTTCTCTCTCAATACTTTTCTGTTGTATACCTGTAGTCTTCACAGTCTGTTCTAGAAAATATGAAATTACCTACTGCAATGTAAAGCAATCCAGCCTGGAGGTACTGACTGCATTTCCTAGTCCCACACAATATATTTGGACGTAAGTGGATGAACATGTTTGTGGTCTGTGTAGGCAGAGAACTGATGTAATGAAGCTCAGGCTGAGGTAGGGCTGCTGCCAGCATGATAACACTGAGTTGCCTGTAAATCTTGTGCAATGCACTTCTAGACAGCAGCAGGCTATATTAGAGGTGCTGCAGACTGATTTTTGAGGAGTCAAACATCCAAATCAGAGAAACATGGCTATGGGGGTGTTTGCATCCAGAGACTTGGCTGTGTTTTTCTAGGGCCTCTGAGCTGTTACTTTAATGGTCTTCATTCCCTCAGATAGAAGAGAGGGTCTGCAGCACTGCTAGTGAGTATGTGGTACTTGATGGAAGGTGGATGGCAGGAGAGTGCCTCTCTCCTTCACCTGAGATGGGAGCATGGCTTGTATGCAGGTGGAGGAAAGCTGTCACTGGTCAAGCTGCTCAGCTGCCTCATTACTTCTGATCCAGGGAGGCAACACAGGCTGTGGGGAGCAGGTGTTGCAGCTCAATGGGCTGTGAAGAACAATGTGGCCAGGGTGCGTGATGGGCACTGGATACCCACTGCGCACAGCGTGGCTCTACGAGCTGCTGTGAGCATTGCTGTCCTGTTGTGTGACAGCAGGAGCCCAGGGTGCTGACAGTGGTATTCTAAGAGACAGCTCTGCTCTTATAGGTGCAATTGATGCAGTTTTTCTGTGCTCAGCTTTGGTGCATCCTTCTCATGCTACCTCAAGTCTCCCCTCCAACTTTATGGGTGGCTATGTGGGCAGTAGTGTGGCACATCCCTCTGCAGGGCTGGAGCTGCTGTGGGGGAGTAGGGACACAAAAGCCCCTCTGAATGCAATGTCTTCCTCTTCTGGAGCTGCCCTGAGGCTCCATGAGTCACAGAAGGGACCTCTTGAAGCTCTGTACTATTTGTAGCTTGCTATCACAGATTTAAAGACCGTGAGAATTCATACTGCGGTGGTTGAGCTCTAAGGAAAAGTTGGCACCTACAAATATAACCCCCAAAGGCAAATACAGTTTGCTCTGCACAGAAGTGTTTCTGCTGATAACATCAGAAGCCTGCCTTTAATGATTAGCCTACTTAAATCCTAGACTCATTTATATTTTAAAAGGCAATATCCAAGTGCATTTCCCCATAAGATAGGCGTCTCTTCTCCCATTAAATTTCATATTGTTTTATCCTATCCCTCTTACAATCTTTGGATTTCTTTGTATGTTCTCTTTTCTGTGCTGCTGTGAAATCAGCCTTTGCTGTGAGCGAGATCTATTTTCGTGATGGGATTCAGCATTTTTGCCATTTCCAGATGCTCTGTATAGAACAGCTCACTCCAGCTGGACTTATCTTTTTGCATGGTAGCAGTGCTGGAGACTTTTTTCATTGTGCTCTAGGTAGGCACTGTTATGACTGCAGCACAGTTGGACTCCAAATTTATTAGATTCAGTCAGTGATGCACAGTGGAGAATTGGGGGTGTAAATTAAGCAGAATGAAGTTACAAAGCCCCATGTATGTATTTGTGATTCATATTTCTATGCTCTATTTAAAAGATTATCTGACATCTCTCTTTCACCTTCTGTATTCCTTTCAGAACAGGAGTCTTCCTCTTTTCCTTTGCATTCAGTGAAGAAACCAGTCTTGCTGTCCTTGAAGGTCACTTCTCCAGTGATAAGATCACTGTGGCTACTATTTGATGATAATTGTTCATAGTATTCCATAGTAATTCTTCTTTTCCTTTGTTAGGGTGGAGGGAAAAAAAAAAGGTAAAATCTAGATGTGCTTGGGAAGTGAGTTGGTGGCACAAAGGAAGGACCTTGCTAGTGTTTTGGTTGATGTGAATGAATCAGGATTTTAAGAATTGACTCCTAAATGCTTGCTGTGATCCCAGCACCTTGCACTCCAGTTGTAGATGCCCATCTGCTCTGAGCGTTTCTGGAATTCAGTGCACTCTCATGGCTTAATCAGTAAAGGACCTTGCACTGCCCAAGGGGCAATGTTCTTCCAAGGCCTGGAACTCACTTATCCCTTCAGAATCATCAAGTGAAGCAGGATATAATTTCTTCAATTATTTTCTCATTGTGGTGTCTTGACTTTGAACCTGGGAGAAGACTGATCTACACCAGCAGTTCCCACTAAAGGTCATGAAGGCTGAACTCTTAATAGAAATTGAGTCTCAATATTTTTCGTACAAGCTGTAGGCATGGTATGGGGTTGTATGTTATGCAGTAGGCAGTTAAAGCACAGATTGAATGGTAAGCCTTGTTTCTTTGTTTTTAGGAGAGCTGCAGTTCCAGTAAAAGTATGCATTTAATCTGTCATTTGATGTGATCTAACACTCACTCCTATTGGATCGATAGTTCAGATTCTGTAGGTGACAAATCAAGAGCTTTCACTATAAATCTACCAGATACAATGAGTTAAAATCTCACTTGTAGTTAATTTGCAAGTGAGTGAAAGCCATACAGATGGAGGACTTGATTGGGAAACACCTCACATCACACATGCTGCTTTGTTGGAAAGTGAGGAACTGGGCCTTTCAAGTTCTGGTGCACACTTGATAAAACTTTATTTTTCAGTGTCCTCATTAATGCTATTAAAAAATGCCACTAAGTATTTTTGTCAAGCAAAGCTTCAGTGTAATTTTACTGTATTGTTAGGGATTTATTAATTATAATCTTTTCTCGTGGAGTCTATTTATTTGATCATGACATTAATTGGCTGCCAAAACAAACGAGAGTTAATTGTGTTTAATTAAGTGTTTGGGAGCAAGCAAGAATGGTTTATTTGGAAAATCAGTTTCATTGATTAGTATGTTTATTTTTTAATAGGACACGAATAAATGAAGGGAACTTATTGTTTAGCACCTTTTTCCCCTAAATGCTGAAGAGAAATCATAGTAACAGCTATGCTTCAGGCAGATTCAATACCAAAGCAAACTCGAAGTTTTCGTGTTCCTCTTAGTATGCAGAATCACTGAACATAAAGGAGGACTTCTGTTGCCAGAAGTTGCTCTCAATTTTTTTTTTTGTTCCTTAAATCAGCTTTCTCAATCTGCTGTTGCAATAGAGACCAGTAGTATTGGTCTTAACTAAAATATTGCTTAAATCTATAAGCCAGTAGGTCTGCGCTAAAGCTTTTCATTGTGACTGTCATCAACTCATGAAGAACTTTCTGGCTGCTTCCATGGGATGCTTTTAAATCTGAGTGGTCAATCAGCCAAAAGGGCACCGTGATGCATGAAAATGAGAACTGAAGAGATGAGTTGAAGATAACGGAGATCTACAAATGAATTTGTAATTGGTTTCAGTGTGCCAGTGCATGACTTGACAGAGAATGATTGCATCTAAGCCAGCTCCCACATCTGTAGTATAATTATTTCTGTAGTAACATGGTATTTTTGTGAGGCTTTAATGACCTGGGGAAAAAAGCTGCGTTTTAGAAACTGTCTTTCCATAGCTGAAACCTCAACCCTTTCTTTGCAAATTCAGCTGCCCAGGTGGTGTTTATCTTAACTTTGTTTTGAGTTTCTCTGAAAATATGCAACTCCTTTAGTTTTAATTTAGCTTCTCTTGGTATTTCTATTATCTTTCTAGTTGGCAGGCAAGAAAATCCAATGTGCATCAAATGAAACCATTTGTCATGGATTAGTGCATGCAAATGCCATGATGACAGCAGCAGACAAAAGCCTGAGAGTGTCTGAATGCAACTTTGGAAGAGAAAATTAATGAGGCCCAAACACCACAGATAGCAGTCCCTAAATGAGTTGATTCAATGCCTAAGTGTAAGGCAACACTCTTCTGTTCATTTCCATAAGATTAAAAAAAAAAAAAAAGTGAGGAAACTTTAAGATGTTTGGTGTTCCCTACCTAATTGGAAGGGTGTCCATGGGGACCTCCTGGTTTTCCCAAGGCTACACAATGGCAGAATGTTTACAGCCTATTAATGCCTATCTGTACCTGCAGTGGGAAATAGGTGTGGGGCTCATGGTGAAGCAGACACAAAGAAGCCATGTCAGTGATGCTCCACCATACACATCCCTGTTTGTCACAGCACGTGGAGTGCAGGTCAGCTGCTATGTAGGGCACTCCAGTAACTCCAGAGGTGGCATTCTTCTTTCTAGTTGTCTTGACTGGAAACTTTCTGCATTTCTTTTATCCCTGAGAAATAAAGTATTTTAATGCTAGTTCCGTTGATAATTGTCAACTCATTCAATTCCATAAGTTATCTTCATCTCCTGCTTGTATTTGTTACTTGAACTTCATTACGAGTCTACTCTAGAATCTCTAGAGTGCTAAAAGATAAATGTGGGTTTTGCCAAGGTTTCTGCTTAAAGAATGGTATGAGGAAGTGTTGGGGAATGCAGTCGTTGAAAAGGTGCCCTGACTGGGTGCAGGCTGTGAACAGTGGGCATGTGGTGTTATCACCCTTAGGAGAGCACCAGGCAGAGATGCGGTAACTCAGTGGACGTTCCTCAGTGTAGCCAGACCAGCTGCTGTCCTCTAAGTTTTTACCCACACTCATTCTCCACCCACCCCCTCAATTAATTCTCTTTCTAAATGTCTCCATTTGAATCAGTTTCTTTTATGTGTGCTCTTAAGGCGCTCACGTTCCTAAAAGGTCTGTAAAACGTTTCAGAGCTGATGCACCTGGGTGTGAGGTACGAGCAACAGAATACCTCTTGAATTCATCCCAATTAGAACAACATATGCATTTATCAAATAGTCTCAACCATTTCTATTTGGGGAAAAACAGTTTTGACATGTAAGATACTTTTTCATTTTCTGACATTGATACCAAATTTTGTTAACTGTATTTTCTAACGCAGGAAAATATGATCTATAACTTTTTTCACCCACAGGAAAGGCTCTGTCTGTGAATCAGATTTTCCGGTGGGGTAAGTTACATGTTTTGTTCCTGTTCCTACAGCAGACTATATACAAAGGAAATTTACTATTGCAGCAGTTTATGGCTTTTGTTTGTATTTTTCCTTCTGTGCTTGGATTTGTGTATTAGTGTGGGAATCAGAACCTCATCCTTCACATCCCCAATTTTTTCCACTGTTTTGATGTAGTAAAATCGAGGCACCTCGCTGAGGTCATGATATTGCCATAGAAATAAGTGTGCTGGTCAGGTTGGGTGAAGCAGGCTCTGGAAATCAACAAATGCTGGGGATAAAAATAGGCATAAATTAAAGGGAAAGGGATTTCTGTTTTCAGTGTGAGTCATTTGATGGTTTCCCCTGGTAAAAGAGTTCCTTGACTTTTTAGATTGGATTTGAATTAGCTTTGAGCTGCAGTGTTTCATGATGATGTGCTTTGTACATGCAGTAGGATATCAAGTGGTTTCTTTATCAGTCATGGTCTTCTTCTGACGCTCGGGTTGTGTAAGTCCCCCTTGAATTAAGTTCTTATGTAAATTGAATTATTCGCTTATGTTCCTGTTTTGTTTTCTAATCTTTCAGAGAAATAAGAGAATCTATAGAGTCTAGAGATGGAAACAAACTACAAAGTAGTATCACAGTTATGCTGCAGTTCTTCTGATAAGGATTATGACTTTAGAGTGCTGCTCCCTGCCTCTGAGGGGCCATGCACTTTAACAGGTGAGAAGGGATAATCCCTTCATCCTGGCAGAATCTATGAATCAAAGTCTGTTTGGGATTTCATTTCAACTCTATATGAATAGAGTTTTCAAATTTAAATAGAACAAAATTGTGTTTTGTTTAGGTACTAACTATGTAGCACACTTTTATTACAGCTTTGGAGTTCCTTTTGTAAGGACCTCCCTGCTTTTAAAGAAGGGCTTTAATGTCTGTGTTTCACATCAGAACCAAGTATATGAACAAAATTCTTATGTACTATTGTTGGAAGAAAATCCATATGCTGACAGCACATGTAATCTCCAGAGCATCAATGTTTGCTGTGGAGAGAGCACCCAAAGCAACACTTGTTTTTGTTTGAGGTATTTCTTTTCCTTCTTGTCCAACTGTGGCTGATCCCCATGTATGATGTGCAGTACTTCCATAACATCTAGCATTGCATCACATGAGGATACTGAGATCTCCATCATGGATGTATTTTCAGTAGTGGAGGTGCTGTTATTTTATTCCTTAAGCGAGCTTTTGGTAATGTCTGGTGGCTGCAAGAGAGTCTGTCCTCCCAGCTGGTACCCATGGCAGGCATACTGTCCCTGGGCATCCTCAGCATGGCTTGGTGAGCAAGTGCAAGCATTGCTGTGAGCTCAGTGAGGATCATGAAGCTTTTTGCTTTTTCTTTTCATGAAATCAAGTGCTTTAGTGTAAGCCAACTTCACAGCAGCTTAAACTTTCATGGTGGTTAAGCTATAATCTATCTGACTGCCCCAGCTGTGAGGTGTAAAGAGCCTTCACGTTCACTTACTCTAGCTCAATTGACAAACAAGTTGTAAAATGCAGTGGATTTTCTTCCTTGTGTTCCTGTTCTCAGCTGAAAAAGAGGCTCAGCACGTGCAGATGGGCAGTGTTCTATTGGCTTCAGTGTGCAACTCTCCACTTCTTTGCTTAACTGCTTCTTTCAGGAGATGAGTAGGCTGGTCTTGTCTTTGGACAAAAAGATTTGTTTTAAGTGTGTTTATCTCTCTCCATGGCTGTGCTTCCTACCAGAGTGCAATGCTTCCAATCTCCTGCAGGCAGTGTAACACTGATTCTGCATAACTTAGAGTGTATTTTTATAACACGTCTGACTTGCAAATCTTGTTAACTGCATGCTGTTATCTCAAAATGCTTGCAGGCTGGCTACAGCAGCATAAAAACCTGTGGCAAGATAAATCTTATTTAAAAAAATAAAAGGGAAGGAATCAGCCTATTTGCTGCAAATGAACTTTGCTCTCTCAATTGCTTCTAAAGACATGGATTGCTCCAAGTTGAGGCTTGGAAGGTTCTCCCCAAGAGAATGATGCTGTGGAGACTCCTACCTGGAAGATGACTCACAAAGGCTGGAGGTGTGGTGGGGACTGCTGTTGAATGCCTTTTAACCAGTGTTAGATTTCCCAGAAGGGTTTTGTACTGTCACAGAAGCATAGCAGGAGTCCCACATCCCATCTCACGTTGGGTTGGACTGGGCTCTTCCGCTGGATCTTTTTTCTCTCGTGCAGTATGACAGCCAAGCTCCAGCTGATGGCTGCTACCTGGCTTGCAGAAGATATTTAGAGGCTTCTGTTAGATCTTGAAAATCGAACTTGGACTTGATTTCATCTGTACTGCTGCATTAATGCAAAAGTAATTATTTCTAACATCTTGTGATTATGAGCTTCTGTGTGCATAAGGAATTGTAGCAGACTTTCATTTCTATTGTGACAATTGTTTATTTTCCTAGGCAAGAGGAATACACAGGGTAACACTGCATTTTGCAAAGCAATATTTCCTTTGTGTGACTAAAGCAGTGTAAATAATTGAATTTTTTTATGTGACAGCCAAAGCAAGATATCAAATGCTGATTTGGCACAGTATTTATGTTCTGAAATTAGTTTAGAGCAATTTAATTGTTTTCCTTGCTAACTGGAAAAGAAAAAGAAAACAAAACCTGAAATAATTTGTCCGATTTCTAAACACTGAAAGAAAAGCAAAGAACAGCCAGATTAAATTATTTTTTTTTTGTGGAAAAAGAGAAGTCTAGAGCAGAAGGTACTGCTTCTTTCCTTAAATTGTGCTTTGTATTGTATCTAGATGCTCTTATTGTATTGGTTTCCTGCTCCTCTTTCTCTCAAGAAGGAGTGCTGTTGTCTTACGATGCCAACTCTATGTGAGGTGGGCATAGTTTCAGCTGCTCTGCTTCTGCAGTGGAACATCAGGGTCTGAACTGTGGAAACTTAGAGGACGTTTAGATTGGATATCAGGAGGAAGTTCTTCACAGAAAGTCTGGTCAGGAATCAGAATCAGAACAGGCTGTTCAGGGTGGTGGTGGAACAGCCATCCCTGCAGGTATTTAGGAGATGTGTGGATGTGGTGCTTAGGGACATGGTTGGTTAGACTTGCATGAGGCTGATTGTTGGACCTGATGACCTTAAGGGTCTTTTCCAGCCTCAATGATTCCATTCTATGATTTTTTTTCTGCCTACTTTTGGAGGAGGCAGAAGCTGTGCCTTAGGGTCCTGGCCTCTGCACTTCCACTTAGAACAAAAGCAGGAGCCAGTGGGGAGCAAAGGCACAGCTTGGGGGAGTTGATGTCTGTGATGCTATTGCAGTATTTAGCTGACTTCTGTCATCTCCAGACCTCTGCTAATTTAATAAGCTGGTTTCACTTGTCAGAGTGATGTAGTTATTTGTGTCTGAGATCAGTGCTCCTTCTTTACAAATATACACCTGTAGCACTTATTTGGTGTCCTTGAAGAAATGCAAACTGGATTCTCACTTTATTTTAAGAGGTGGTGCTTCTAGAGCTCTTATTGTTAGCTGAGGCTTTATATTAGAAATGTCTTTCTGTAAGTGGTAGCATCGACTTTTGTCATTTTTACATAAACTCTGCTTTGCAAAGCACCATTGTTCGGCTTTGGAACAATAACTGGTTAGTTGTGCACAGTGTGTTTTTGTGCTGCTGCCCAGATCAATGGCAAGCCAACGTCAAATAGGAAATGTAGATTGGTTTTATAGGTAATTTGTTCGTTAGAAAACAAAGAATGTCTGAGTGTTTGTTTGCTGGTTTTTATCATTATGTATGACTTCTATTTTCACACTGTTCTTGTATCATGATAAATTGAGATTAAGCAACAAACAGCCCTTGAAATCTGTCCTTTTTTTTTTTTTTTCCCCTCCAATGACTTACCTATAAATTATAGAGGATAGTGGATATTGTGAATGAGCAAATACTTCGTTTGCAATTCAGTTTTACAAAATATCTGTATGTGCAGAAGGTAGTGGGTGCCATTCTACTAAAACCCTGCTTAACACATTCAGGACAGTAAGCCATGATGCAGAAGTGCAGATTCTTTGTCGTCTTGGCATTTATGACATGAAAGTGTGAGTCTTTATGCTGGACTGCACGTATTTCTTTTCTTGTTGCTTTTACTGTGGCATGTAAATGTCACAAAGAACAAAAATGCACATCTTGTAACAGGAAGAAGATGAGAAATTTCCATTTTGCTCTGGTGCTCTGAATACTTTGATATCTGTAACATAACTATTTCTCAGTAAACAACTGACCCAGTTTTGGATACCCTCTTCTCTCTGAAGTCTCTCTCCCCTCTCTAGCTGGAACCTGTGGAAAGATGCTGTAAGGAAGGAAGTCTGACTTTGTTCTGTTGCAAAACCTCCTTATTCAGGTCTATTCCAATCTCTTTTATTTTTAATTTCTTTACCTTTAAGCTTTGCTTCTGCACTGGGGCATCAGGGTCTGAACTGTGGAAACTTAGGGGAAGTTTAGATTGGATATCAGGAGGAAGTTCTTCAAGCTCAGCTGGCCAGCTAGATATCAGAGCTCTCAAGGGTTGTGTTTTCTAAATGAAGCACTTAAAATCATAAAGGATAAATGCATGAGGCATGAAGCAATATAAGTTGTCTTGCTTTTCTTCTCACTTCTCAATAAATACTTCTCTTATTAAATTTTGAGTTATGGTTCCTGTAAGAACTTGTAAAATATATATCAGTGCAAGTGGAGCAAATGCCTAAAATGTGCTATGGCTGTTTGTAACAGTTAGATATTTGGGTAAGTGCACTTTATGTTGTAAACAAAGCTTTGGTATATTGGTGGAAAGTAATTGAGGTGTTCTCATGTACATACATACCTATACCTTAGCTAAAAGACAACTCACTTTCTGCTTTGTGCTCACTGCTATCACCTAGATTTCTTTTGTGGGTTTTTGGGGAGCCATACACTTACATATATATATGGTAAGATCCAGAATCCTCGAAACTATACAATCAGT